ATTAAGCTAGAACGGTCTTAAATATAAGGTAAAAATAGTGACACATAAACTACAATCGGGATTAAGAGGTTCTCAACGGGTCGTCATGACACATCCGATTACTTTTTATAATTAGACGTATTTATATGATACTTTATCGAGTACATGATCTTATGTGACTATTCAGTAATATTAGTTGATCTTATTTGACTCTTATTCATAATAAAAAGACTATTATGTTATTTTAGGATATGATTAGTAAATTTCACATGCTTTTAATTTTGTTTTGGAAGAATAAGCTTTCAAAATTTTAAATACTACGTACTATAATACGATAAAAAAAATATACTACGTAGTATAAAGTTCAAACCCCACGTTTGTTTAATTTTTTTTTTTGACCGTAATAACTAAAAACGCACTTTTTATATATAAAAAGGTGAAATTTCTTTCACCTTTATTTTTTTTGAGAGAGAATTTATTTTCACCTTTATCTTATAAACTTTTAGAAAGAAATCTCCTCCTAGCTACTTTCATTTTACATTTTTACTGTATAAAGCTACTTTTCAAATAAAAAAATGTTTTGTATGACGAGTCAGGTTGCTTTGTCGGGTGACTGACTCTAAGTCTATTTCTAGGGCTTGCGATCAGATCTGTAATAACTGTCTGGATATTGTCTTGGATGTTTACTCTATTTTAATGAAAACCGTTTTGACTAATGGAGCTCGTGAATAGAGACACATAATTGTGGTTGTGAACATTTTTAATAGGGTCTAGAGTTCATATTTTACAAAGTGGGTATCTGTTTTCAATCCGTTAACACTTATGGGGGTCTCCATCACTTATTTTATATTCTCGTCGCTTTCTTTTATTCACTGTTTTGATCGTATGAAATATAACAAAATAAAAATCGTGTAATTGAAGTGTGTACAAAGAAAGAAAAGTAATTATAACTATAAATTAATGGATTAACTAAAATTATAAACGAGGGATGGATTTATGTTTAATTTACCAACTACTCCTTATATCCCCTAAAACCGTCTCATATTTTATTTTGAGAAAAGGGTCAAATAAGGTCTTCTACTATTATGAAATAGTCACATAAGGCCATGTACTTAATAAAGTGTCATATAAGTACCTCTACTTGTAAAAAACAATCAAATGAGTCCTAACGATCTATTTACAACCTCCTAATCCCGCTTTTAGCTTACATGTCGATTTTTTTGACTTGTATTTCAACCAATCTTAGTTAAATATTCGACGTATGTTGTATAATCTATTCTAAAAAGATGGTCACAAGTACGCTAAAACCGGGATTAAGAGGTGTTAAATCGGTCATTTGGGCCTATTTGATTGCTTTTTACGAGTTGAGGTATTTATATGACACTTTATTGAGTACGTGGCCTTATGTGACTATCTCATAATAGTAGAAGACCTTATTTGACTCTTTTCTCTTTTATTTTTGATACATCCTACTAGATTGTCTCACATCAAATTTGATAAAATTTACATGATTAAAATCATTATTGCTTTATTCTGACTTCATCAATTTAATATCAACCACGTAAACTCAATTTTTCATTAGTCCGGGGTTACCGGGTAGGTGGTATGGTTTAAGGGGGTGTTTGGAACTGATTCTGCTTCTGCTTCTTTTTTAAAGCAGAAGCAGAATCAGAATCAGTTTTCAGAAGCTGGTACCTACCAGCTTCTAAAAAAACTGATTCTAAGAGTAAATTGGAGCACCAGAAGTGCTTCTGGAATTTCAGCCAAACACTCCAGCTTCTGCTTCTGCTCCCTGAAGGAACAGAATCAGTTTCGAGAATCAGATCCAAACACCCCCTAAGTTGCTTATGGGCCTTTCCACATCATAATCAAAACTAACGACTACTTGCCCCATTTGTTTGAATCTGTGATCGTATAGTTCACACGTTAACACGTTGCTGTCTCTCACTACATTTTCGGCCGGTTTGAACCGCTCCACCGGTCCATTTGCCAGAATCCCAACAGCTTTCCGTGACAGCCTTCTTTCGGATAAAAGAAGGCTCCATTTCCTTCTCCCTCCCGTTATAGGGTTGTACTCTGTCATTTTCTCCGCTGTTTCCAAGGTGTTGTACGTTGCCGATCTCTATTCTGTTTAACCCCATCCCTTCCTTTCCTCCCTCACTTCACTTTCACTTCGTACACTCACAAACCCTAGCACAGAGCAGAAGAATCTCGACACCCCAGAAACCCCGCAGAGGTTTATCAGCTAAAGGGTGCTCGGATTATCCGTTTTCTTGGATTTCCTTCATGGGTAACTGTATGGACACTTCGATGAAATCGACGGCGGAGATTGCGCCGGCGGACGCGATCAAGGCCCAGCCGATGGTCAAACTGTACGGGACGCCGTTCAGCGTCGACACCTACTGCGTCCGCTTCGCGCTCCTCTACAAGCCCGTTGCTCTCAAGTTCGTGCCGTCCGACCAGCACGAGACGCCGGTGCTCGAGTACAAGTCCGACACCGTCTCCGGATCGATTGAAGTTCTGGTTCAGTTCTTGGATGCGAAGTTCCCGGAGCCGCAGCTGCTGAAGGGGAGCGTGGGCGGGTGGCACGGCGAGACGACGCCGTTGGTGGTGTGGGTTGCGACTCTGCAACACCGGAGCATGATGTGGCACCTGGATCGGATGGTGAGGTGGGCGGAGGATCTGTCCGATCGTGGGGGGAGGACGACGGGTGATCCGGCCATGGGGAGCCCTCGGATGGAGATTAGGAAGTTCGCCAAGAGATATTCTCAGCTGCTGGAACTGTTCTTGGAGCATGCTCAGATGGAGGAGAGGGTTCTCTTCCCAATCTTGGAAAAAGCTGATCGAGGTATAATTATCATTTGCAGTAATTACTTTTTATGTGATTGCCAGATTCATTTTCATGGTTTTGTGTTCACTTTATTTGGGAAAGTAAGTAAATCCATCCAGCCCATTCTGTTCTTATGATAGACATTCTATTAATGTGCATTATGTAAATTTGATGAAGACTTGGTTGCTTATTCTTTTTAGGAAAACAGATTTACCTGCACTCAATAGTGTTGATGGTATATACTATATAGGGTGGTGGTTATAATTGTTCAGGAGATTTAGGCCCCCATTGATAGCATTAATCGGTTAGCTAAAGAATCAGATTAAGTGTAGTTTGACTTAATTGTTCTGTGTGGGGCTGAACTGATTTAGTAAGGAGATTAAAAAAAACTTAAAACTAGAGACTTAATATACAACTAACATTATACATACCGTTACAAAGGTAAGAGGAGCAGAGGAACCTAGGAATTACATATTCTTTCTCTATACGACTGTTAGGGGTTCACCGTGTTCCTGTCCGCAGCCAGACTAGCAAGAACAGGGAACCGAACTTGGAGGGAAAAGGTCTGGATCCAGTTCCGGAATTTGGATACAGGATATGGCAATTCCTTTTTCTTTTGGATTTTTAGCATAAAAACTTTAAAATAAATTCTTGTTCAGTTGGGATGGATATCTGTGGCCATTGCCGATACCAAGAGGGCATGTTTTATACTCTTCAGTTTTATTGAATGGTAATAATTGATTTCTGAGGTGTATGGACAGATTATGGGTGATAGTGATGCTTTCTTATACTAGTAAGTAATACCTATTGATCATTTTATATCTGTCATCCATAGGATTGTGCAAAGGTGCAAACGAGGAGCATGCAAGAGATCTGCCTGTAATGAATGGAATCAAAGAAGACATTAAATCCATTGGAGTTCTTGATTCAGGGAACCCTGTCTTCCAAGAAGGCCTCTCCAATCTTTCAACTCGCCTTAAAACCTTACAGGTATGTTGTAACTGGTTATACAATTTCTTTGAACTTTAAGGGATTGTTTGGATCCCAGAAAATGCTAGGGAAATGATAGCAGGAGGGAAAGTGTAGATTAAAACTGGACAGAAAGAAAATGAGAAAAATGTTCAGTAAATCAATTTTGTATATTTGTTTGAACTCACTTTTATTTTTAGTACTTCTAGTATATAAAGTCTGAGAAATTAATTTTGCTAGCAGATTTTTTCCTTTCCCAATTTTCCTTGGCATGTTCTATGATCAAATTTGTCATATAATAACAACAATCATACTTCAATTTATTTATTATTAAACCAGGAACATTCAAAAGAGCACTTTGATGAGGAAGAGAAGGAGTTGCTGCCGCTATTGGAGGCAGCGGAGTTGAGCAAACTGCAGCAAGTGAGTGCATTGGAACAGTGTGTGGAAGCAATGCATGGGACGCACTCCCACCTGTTCCGGTTTTTCATGGAAGGACTCCTTCCCCAGGAGGCGATGCAGTACATGGACATCATTTCTAAGTGCAGTGACAAGGACCGGGTGTGCAAGCTGTTCCGGTTAGTTGTTGAGAAAGAGAATAGCTTTGGCAGCGCTATGGGCGATCCCCACTAACAAACACGGTGATGGCGATTGGATTTTGCTTAGCCCGCTGGTGAAGGCCAAAGTCTTCACACAGTTCAGTTCGTCTTTTATAGTGACTTGACAGTTGGTTAGTTTCCTTTTAGAGTGGATGCGAGAAGCACAAGAGTTGAATGAGCAAAAAGTGGTTGCAGATTTATTTGTAGATGGGGTTCGTTGGTTACTTTCCTTTACATGTTCTTGCCTGCTTAATATGTAAATGATGACGACGAACTGCTTTATCTTTTTCTTTGTACGTAAATAACAAGTTCTAATTTGGGCTCTTCTCATACAAATGATGAGGATGGACCAACCTCTAAAATGGGACTGGATACGATAAACTATGCATTAAAAACAGTGTCCCTCCAAAATACTTCGTACGTAGTAGTTCGTATGTGAATAAATTAGTACATACAAAAAAGATGTTGCAAGATAGGTGGAACATGGGAGAGCTGGAGAGGAATTACTAAATACTATCGTTGACAATTAAAAACATCTTTACTGCTTGTGTTTAGACACTTGCTCAAAACTTAAAACTAAAGACATTATAATCACGATTGTTGTTACATTTGTAATAAAGAAATTGTACTCCGCAATAAAGAACTTTTTTTGAAAGGAAATTGTCGCTTCCGAATTGTTACATCATTAGAGAAAAATCATATTCCACATCAACAAACCTACACCAACTACAAATGTAAACCTTACGATAAGACATATAGAAATAGTCATCATGAAAGAACAATACAAATCGCCAACCACAAAACGAGTTTGACACAACTATCACTGGTCATATAGATCTGTATACTTCTAACGACATAAAATTAAGTTAAATTTTCAATCATCGTGACATACGACATACCTAACCAGACTTTAGCAACATAGATTTTAACAACATGATAAATTTATCGAACCCGAGTACCTCGTTCAACTCATGTCGGTGGTTCAAGAGGTGACCAGATTATCAGTATCGCTGTGATTGACGTTTCATCAATGGCTGAACTCTAACCTTCGCCAAATTCACCGCTCACCATCCCTCGCTGCCCCTCGTACGTGCTTAAGTTGTTGTTCGCCGTCTTCCTGGTCACGACACCATGACTTCATGCGGCTGAAGCAAGACCTCTGGTCATGGTCTGCAATATACTCACTTTCTCACCTTCCATCCTATGTCTTTCCACTGAAGCTGAGAGAAAACAATCCCTAAAAACTCTAAATTGACGACAAAGAAAAAGCTTTGCAGCACCAACCCTAATCTGTAGTCGAGCTTTGCAATGTCGCTTGTTTTCTATGAGGTCTCATGTATTTACTCTGCAATAAAGAGCTTCAACCTTTAAAAGATAATTAAATTATTGAATAAACGATGAGTAAATAAATCAGTACTACTCCATACTTCCTAGCTGGGTTATCTACTCGGCGAGTACTCGGCGATAGGGGTGGACCGGTTCCGGGCCGGGCCCGGTTCGGGCCTTGAACCGGCCGGGCCTCGGTTCAAGGTAGGGGAGGCCCGGAACCGGCCCGGGTAACCCCGGGTCCGGTCCGGTCCGGTTCGGGCCTTGAACCGGCCGGGCCTCGGTTCTATATAATTTTTTTTTTTTTGGGGGGGGGGGGTTCCTAATCAACCCCCTACCCTCCCCCTACACCCCAAACCACCTCAAATGGCCCAAATTACCCAATCCAACCCAAAAACTTAAAAAACTAAAGAAAAAAAAATTAAATCTGGCCCGGTTCATCAAAATGATGGCCCGAGCCCGGAACCGGTAGCCACCGGGCCGGGTCGACCCGAACCGCCCATGGGCCGGGCTGCCAGGCCGGGCCGGTTCAAACAGTGATCGGGCCAGTTCCGGTTCGGGCCGCCCGGCCCGAGTCCAACCCTACTCGGCGAGTACTCGCTACTCGGTCTCTTACCTTGCAGAGTAGCACCTTAACTCGGCCCGAGTTAATTTTCTGAGTTATAATTTGTACGTAAATAACAAGTTCTAATTTGGACTCTTCTCATACAAATGATGAGGATGGACCAACCTCTAAAATGGGACTGGATACGAATATACGATAGAGTGATAAACTATGCATTAAAAACAGTGTCCCTCCAAAATACGTAATACTACCTCCGTCCTGCTAAGATTGTCCCGTTTTACCATTTCGGTCCGTCCCACTAAGATTGTCCCATACCAAATTTGGCAAAGTTTGTATGACTCTAAATCATTCTTACTTTATTCTTACTTTATCAATTCAATATCAACCACATAAACCACTTTTTATTAATTTGCGTGTCACTTCCTCTTGTCCCATTGTTAGTGGGAGAGAGGGAGTAGTTCGTATGTGAATAAATTAGTACTCGTATGACATACAAAAAAGATGTTGCGAGATAAGGTGGAACATGGGAGAGCTGGAGAGGAATTACAAAATACTATCGTTGACAATTAAAAAAATCTTTACTACTTGTGTTTAGACACTTGCTCAAAACTTAAAACTAAAGACATTATAATCACGATTGTTGTTACATTTGTAATAAAGAAATTGTACTCCGCAATAAAGAACTTTTTTTGAAAGGAAATTGTCGATATTTATATTATTAGCTTCCCAATCGTTACTTCATTAGAGAAAAATCATATTCGACATCAACAAACCTACACCAACTACAAATGTAAACCTTACGAATAGACATACAAACGGTCATCAAGAAAGAACAATATCAATTGCTAACCACAAAACGAGTTTGACACAACTAACACTGGTCTTATAGATCCGTATACTTCTAACGACATAAAAATAAGCTAAATTTCCAATCATCCCGACATACGACATACCTAACCAGACTTTAGAAACATAGATTTTAACAAAAATCCAAACAATAAAATAACAATAACTAATACTGTATGATAAATTTATCGAACCCGAGTACCTCGTTCAACCCATGTTGGTGGTTCAAGAGGTGACCAGATTATCAGTACCGCTGTGATTGACGTTTCATCGCTGGCTGAACTCTAATCTTCGCCAAATTCGTCGCTCCCCATCCCTTGCTGCCCCTCGTACGTGCTTAAGTTGTTGTTCGTCATCTTACTGGTCATGACACCATGACTTCATGCGACTGAAGCAAGACCTCTAGTCATGGTCTGCACTATACTCACTTTCTCACCTTCCATCCTATGTCTTCCCATTGAACTTGAGAGAAAAAGAACTCTAAATTGCCGACGAAGAAAAAGGTTTGCAGTCGAGCTTTGCAGTGCCGCTTGTTTTCTAATTTACTCTGCAATAAAGAGCTTCAATCTTTAAAAGAAAATTAAATTATTGAATAAACGATGAGTAAATAAATTAGTACCACTCCTTACTTCCTAGTTCCAACTTGGTTTGGGACAAAAGAAAGTAAAACCCAAGGAAGGTTTAAAAAGACTAGTTGAAACATGAAAATAATGAGAAAACTAGAAATGATATATTTTACCTCAAAAAACAACTATTTAGAGAGTTTTCAATAACTTTCCGCCGAGTTTCAAAACGAAGATGCACGTTTTTTCGACAGGGTTTCCATACTTCATAGGTTAATACTAGTACTATATTAAATATTCATATAATTAAAAATAAATACGATTCCCACAAGCATTTTGAGACTGATCACAATAGAAAAGTGAGAAATACTATGACAGAGTGGTATTACATTTTGTGTTTATTACATTTAAGCTACAACACTCTTTCTAGATGTCAATTCTAGGATGGGGGAGATTTTGGAGTCGGTGAAAGTGGCGGAGACCGCGGCGGAGGTGGTGGAGTGCGCAGCGGTGCTGGAGGCGGGCTCTTAAAATGATGAGGAATGTTGGTGCGTGGGGCTGACGGCGTCCGGCTGCCAGCCGGCAGTGTCCTGTCGGTTCGATACTTCACGAGAATATCGTCCATGGCCATTGGTGAGAAAGGATCGTCTCTTGCTGCCATGGCTAAATGAAGGAGAAGCATCATTTGATGAGTTAATAACAATATTAAGATTGCAGTTGGCAGGCGAAATGATTTGTTCAACATTTCTTCACTTTCCAACTTCCACACCATATTTGCTCCAACCAAAGACTCCAATTATTTATGTATGATTACAGGGACACCATTCCGCCTTTGTGGATTCCAAGGTGGAAATTACTGGTAGACTGATGGAAAAATAAATGATGTGGGCCGAAATGTTATAAATGAAATTGACAAACTCTTTTTTAAACAATTAAATAAGGAAATTTGGCAAACTGTTATTTGGAGCTGGAAATGGTGAGTATGTACCTACTCCGTATTATATACTCCTCTCCGGAATTGTAATACACTTTACGGTTTATGATGTTTGACCGATGATAAAGAAAACGGATTTCTGTCCGCACTCAAATTATTTTTAGAAAAGAAAAATTATATATTCAGAAACTACATTAAAAGCTTTACAAAATCGCAAAAATCAAAATCAAATTTGATAAAAACTTGATATATAAAGTAAGAGATTAAGATGATTTGTGTTGATCAAGTGAATAAAAAAAGTATCTTACAAAATAGGCTGAGGAAGTACTGCATGTATATGTACTACGTATATTTTTATAATTTAAATTAAACCAGTCAATGTTCAGTTATACAATAATTAGAAGTGAAGTGGAATAGGAAATATAAAACTCTCATACATACATAAAATATAAAATGTACTACATCTCTCTCATATTTAATGTCTTATTTTAGTTTGACACAATTATTAATAAATTAGTTTTAAAATAAAAATTATGATTGAAATTTGATTAAAATAAAGCAAAATGATGTAAATCACATTTTTTTTATAAAAAAGGAAACAGAACATTCATTTTAAGATAACCCAAAAAGAAAACTGAGATAACCAAATGAAATAGAATGAATAATATTTTTTGGAATAATGATTAAATTTGATTGGAAAGACTTCTAAGTAAAGAATATGAAATACTAGAATGTGCATTTATATTGTTAGCTAAGGTTCACACAAATTTGATTGGAAAGACTTATAATAAATAGTAATACCTAATTATAATTATTAATTTGATTCACACAACGTCTAGAATTATGGTCATTGAGACACGGCGAGTGGCGAATTGATAAGGTTAAAAAACTTAAAAATAATATTCGCCTAAGTGATATGATTATTAGTGATAGAAAATAAATAAATATATATATATAATTTTTTTTATCAAAAAAACAATTCATAAAATATGAAAAAGCAAATAATTTAATTAACGTAATTCAATATGTAAACATAATTCACCTACTTATACCACAAAGCCCGCAAAAAATTATCAGAAAGAACAAGAACACGTATAAAGCATGACACATTGAGATAAGTGTTAAAATAATGGAATTGATAACTATATATTTGGTAGTCCATTAAGTTTTATAATCAATATTTTATTAAGGTAGATTCTACGGTACCCCAAATGTACCGTACCTTTGTCCAAATGGATCAATAAGAATAATGCAGTTGAATTATTTTTAAATCCCATTTTTTAAATGGGTAGCGGAGTTGTCACCTTTTATTAATAGTATGTAGAGCAACTATGATTTTTAACAACAAATAAAAGTTGTTCAAAAACACAAGTTCAAAATGAAAAATATTCGGAAATTGTCCTAAATAGGACTAATGAGTTTCTAAAAAGCACAAATAGGACTACTACTTTTAAAATTCCCTAAATAGGACTAAACATTGATTTTCTATCCTAAATACCCCTTAGAGTATTAATTCATAATGAAATTCTTTAATTCATAATAAAAATCATAAAAAACGTAAAAAATATTTTAAAAACGTAAAAAAAAATTATAAAAATTTTATAAAATAAAAAAATTGATTTTTTATTTTTTTTATTTTTTTTTTAAAATAAAAAATAGTAAAAACCCATAAAAAATGAAAAAAATTATGGATACCTTTCCCACCGCCCCCCAGCACCACCACCTCCGATTGGTGAAATTTCTTCCACTTTTGGTAAAAAAAAATGCCATATTTTTCTGAAAATGCCAGAAAGATGGCATAATTACTCTTCAATATGCCAACATTTTCATTGAATATGCCATTATTATGGCATTATTTAAAATGTTGGAATATTTTTCTCCGGTGATGGGAGCTGGTGGTGGCAGGGGTGGTAATGTTTTTTTAAATTTTATGATTTTCTTTTTATTTTATTTTATTTTTAAATATTTTTTTTTTATTTTTTTAAAAAATATTTTTATTAATTTTCTATTATTTGTTTTATGATTTTTAGCTTTTTTTTTCGATTTTTATTAATTTTTTATGATTTTATTAATAATTAAAACATTTTACAAGTTACAAGGGTATATTTGTCCAAACACACATAAATAGTCCTATTAAGGGAATTTAAAAAAATGTAGTCCTATTTGTGCAATTTTGCCGCTTTTTAGTCCTATTTAGGGAATTGACTCAAAAATATTTAGGGAGTGTTTGCAATTGCTTCTGCTTAAAAAAAGCACTTTTGAAGATGTAAGGAAAAAGTGATTAGTAGGAAAAGTTGATAGTGTTTGAGAAAAAAGTGATTTTGAAAAGTAAAAGTTGATAGTGTTTGGTAAAATAAGTGCTTTTTGTGTAATAGAAAGGGGAAAAGCACTTTTCACACGCAAGCCGAGAAAAAGTAAAAATTAGTAGTGTTTGGTAAATAAGTGCTTTTTTTAAGTGATTGCAAACACTCCCTTAATAGCCATTTGAATTATGATTACCCATGGTTGTCACTTGTCAATGGTGTGAAAGAATTAATTACGGGAACAGAACTATGCAATTCTTGACTCTTTAGACCATTTGGAGTGGTGAGGTATTAGGAGTCCAAAATGTTAAAATGGCATTTTTGGACTCCTAATTTCATGCATTGGTTGATTGAAGAGGGTATTATAAATGGGTTTGGGGAGGGAAGAGGTTATATTTGGAGGAATTTGGACGGCCAAAAAGAAAATGAAAAAGAAATAAAAAAGGGAAATAGGTGGCTGATGCAGGTGTGCGCAGGGGGAAAGAGGAAGTGCGCCGGGGAATTATTTGCCCAGCTGATGTCATGATCACATCGTGCTGGTGCCATACAGCACCCACCACGTTTTTTTTAAAACTGGTAGATCTAACGGTTGTGATGATTTGAACACTGATAGAATGAGAAAAAAATTGAACCAACGACTGAAATTGAAATCCACCGATTAAAATAATTTATTTTATGTTTCTATTATTTTTAATCAATATTTTATCTAACAAAAAAATATTAATGAAATTTAATTTTTTTACATCAAATTGTGTCTTTTTTATTTTATAATTAATCAGAGAAAAAATTAAAAGGAAAACATTACTTATAATAATTTAATTAATGTTTTACTAAATTGATATGTAAAAAAATGTGCAGAGTGTATTTTATTCACGGTGCTGGAATGCAGAGAAATAAGAGTCAAAACACTGTTTTCATATCGACGGAGTCCATTTTTAACATTTAGACTCTTGCACCACTCCAAATGGTCTTAGTCGTGATTATTGTAGCCAGCTGCAATATTTTGAAGTCAATAGTCAATTACAAGTGATGTCTGAACACTGCTAGATTTGTAGAATTTGAACAAGCCGCCTTTTAACTTGGGCTCGGGTTGGGTAGAGCCCACTATAGCCCACTGGTTCACTAATCCCTGTGGTTTAGGGATGTCAAAAAAAAAAAAACCGACCCGCAATGACCCGCCCTGACCCGAGACATTTGGGGCGGGTCCGCCCGCCCCGTCTTGCAAATGGGGCGGGTCCGCACCGCCCCGCCTATACAATGGGGCGGGTCCGGGTATTAGAATTGACCCGTGCTGCCCTGACCCGCCCCGCCCTGACCCGCTCAATATACAAGTATACATATTTTTTCTTAAATTATACTACAAATATACTTCAACATACATATGTGTGTATACAATAAATCATAAATTCTTTGATCTTATAATATATGAATGTATATTAGAATGTGATGCACGACGGATTATTAATGTCTTCTTTATATATAGAATTTTAATACATATATTCAATTATTAATATAACTAATTAGATTAACTATTTAAGTTTGAGTAACTTTTCCTTAATTTTTGAAATTTTTAGCGTATCATGAATTTGATTTAATATATTGATTTTTAATTATTATTATTTAGAGATAAACATTATGTAGATTCAATTGGTAACAATTTCCCACAAATAAAAATACATGGTCATGGGTCAACAAGTTTGGACCCGTACAGGTCACGGGGCGGGGCGGACCCGCCCCGCCAAGTCACGGGGCGGGTCCGGGTTTTGCAATACCCGCCCCGCCCGACCCATTGCCATGCCTACTGTGGTTTTTTCAAACGACCCCGGATTCCAATGGATTCCTGTGGTATCGAGACTCACTTCTACTTATCAGTTTATTTTGCCTGTGGGGTCTCTGTGGTCACCGTTTTGGACTCCGATCTTAAGGAGGCGGCATGCCTCACTGACCCCATTGTTGCTTGTTCCCACCCTACTCCGGGTCACAACATTGTGGAGCCCCGATCACCTCTACTTTAAACAAACAAGACGTCTTTTAATGGATAAGTAGAAATGGGTCTCGATGCCAAGGGAATCCACCAGAATCCGGTTATCATAGGGAAGTTTCCCAAATTGAAGTCACACAATAATATTTATTACTATAGTAATTGCCCTGAATAACAGAATGTTTTGAAATTCCAAAATACGATCTTCATTTTTTATTTCCTAAACAAAAGTAATTTCTGTTTGTTAAGTCTGGAACCAGAAATTTATGTCTTCACGGTTGAATTTTTAGTTGAAATTTGGTATGAATAAACTACGCTTGATGAAGAGCGTTCTCAAAAAATTTCATCAAACAATTCCATCGAGAAGGCCCCGAAATGCCCTCGACCGGACGGCGGTTCCCGTCAGGCCGGCTGGATAGGAACGAGACTCTATATTTATTATATATATATATATATATATAGGAGTGATCATGTCCAGCCGGAAGGGCGGGACCCTCCGGCCGGCGCCATTTGGGGAGGTTCCCAGTGGAATTTTTTGATAAAATTTTTTGAGCATGTTCCTGATCTTCCCATTCTAATTTTTAGCTTAGTTGTTTTGTGGATAAACTAGATTTAATAAGGAACATG